ATCGGAGTCCGGGGCCGACTCGGACGCAGCCGACACGGCTCGCAGCGGCAGCGGCAGCGACACTGAGGAAGAGGGCGAGGGAAGCCTGGATCCGGACGAGACCATCACGAGCTTCCCGCTGCCCGCGCCGCGGCTGGTACGGCCCAAGTCGGTCGGGGACGGTACGCTTTCGCTCGACGGCGTCGGCGGTGACGTGGCGGCGGCGGCGACGACGGCGGGGCAGACGGTGTCGCAGCTCGGCGGCACGGCGCTCTCGCTCGGCATACCCTGCATCGTCTCGTTCTCGTCGCCTTCGCCGTCGCCGCCGCTGTCGTCGACGGTGCGCGCGCGCCACTCTGCGCGCTTCCACGCCACGGTCAAGTACATCGGTCCCGTGCTCGGCTGGCCGGGGGCGTGGGTGGGCATCGAGGTGGCGCTACCGCTGCCCCGGTCCCTGCTCGCCGTCTCGTCTCCCGTGCTCGATGGCGACGGAGACGCGTCAGCGGGAGCGGGAGGGGAGGGCGTGGACCTCTCGCGGTGTCCTGGCGGTCTGCACGACGGGAGCGTCGACGGCCTACGCTACTTCGACCTGACGATGCGCTGGGACATGACACCTCCCCGCTCCTCGGCAGTCATGGGCGGTGGCACCTTTGTCTCGGCGGCGGCAGCGTCGGCGGCGATGGCGCCCTTTTCGCCCAGTCTTGGTACGCCCAGCAGCCTCGGCGGCGGCGGCGGTGTAGGCGAGGCGGATACGTACTTTTCCAATACCCACAGCGTCACCTCCGCCGCCGCTGCGGCTGCGGCTGTACGGAGGTCCATCACTCCCACACCGACACACGGTTCTACACCGACATCCAGACCCAGCTCGACGCTGGGACCGGGCGTCGGCGGTGGATCGAGCAAGAAGCAAAAGCGGCGGTATCCCGATCGACCGGAACGCAGACAGCGGCGTATGGCGGTACTGCAGAGCCTTTGTCGCCCTCCTACCGTCCCCCACCGTCCCCCTGCCGATACCGTCGATCGCGATGGGACCGATTGCTCCGACGCGGACGACGACGAGGATGACGACGAAGACGAGGGCGAAGGGCAGGATGGCGGAGCGGGCATCAAGAGTCGCGGCCTGTTTGTGCGACCCTGCGACGTTCTCTGGGTCATTTCGGCACAGTGAGGCCGTGAGGGCCGACTTTGTTGCACGCCCTGGCGCAGCACGGCGCGGCACGGCACGGCACTCGATCTCGTTTCTAGACACCTGCGACCGACCCTCGATCCGCCGCTGCTCGACGCCGCTGGCTGGCCGGGTCAAGGCCGACGTCGACCATGCTTTCTATCCATTCCATTCCACCTCGCTTCCCCTCCATCCCGGCCCTCCGCCCCTCGCCTCCCCAGGAGGCGGGCTCAGCCCCAGAGAGGCTGGTGCTTCCTCGCCGCCTCGCTATACCTGCCACCGTGCACGCCAAACTCGTCGAGGACGGCATCGATCTGGCGCACCTCGGCCGGGCTGAGGACGAGGCGGGCGGCGGCCGTGTTTTCGCGCACCCGCTCCGCCTTGGACGAGCCGGGCAGCGGGACGACGAGGCCCGACGCGCTCCGGTGGATCAGCCAGGCCAGCGCGAGCTGGGCGGGCGTGCACTTGTCCTCTCGCTTGCTCGCCAGCTCCTGGAAGATGTGGGCGAGCTTGAGGTTGTTTTCAAAGTGCTGCGGTGCAGGCGGTGACGGCGCGCGAAGGGCAGGGGCAGGATGGCGAGGGGGCCAGCTAGTCAGCTTGGGCTCGCCAAGGGCAACACAGGGAAGGCGGCCGCGGGATGAGGGGCGGGACGCACCTCTTCGGAAAACTTGTCCTGCGTCAGCCTCATGTCGCCCTCGGGCAGGTCGGCGCGGCTCTTGATGGCGCCCGTCAGCATGCCCTTGCCGACGGGGCTGTAGGCGAGGATGGGCAGCTGGAGCTCCTCGCAGACGCGCACGACGCCCAGCTCGTCGGCGTCGCGGCAAAAGGGCGAGTACTCGATCTCGACAAACGCCAGCGGCGCCGCCTTGGCCGCGCGCCGGATCGTCTCGGCGCCGACCTCGGAGATTGAGATGTGGTGGAACAGCCCCTTGCCCCGCACCTCTTGGCCGCTCTTGGCGTCGGTGTAGGTCTGCGACGACAGGGAGAGGAGGTTCTGCATCGCCTCTTCGATCGGCACCTGCAGAGGAGGGGGCCAGAGGGGAGGAGGGAGGGAGCGGGGGACGGCATGGTCAGCCGCGGCCGCGTCTCGGCGGTCAACCGGCGCGGACCTCGTGCGCCCCTCAGGGCACGGCCGATCCGCACCTTTGTGTCGATGCGGGCCATTTCGTAAAAGTCGATCTGCTTTCCGCCCTGGTCGGTGCCGAGGTGGGCGCGGATGTGGCGCAGGTCCTCTTCCAGGTTGGACGGCGTCGAGTCAAAGAAGGAGCCAAAGATGCCCTTTTCGCGGAACGAGGGCTGGTGCAGGCCGCCCTTGACCGAGAGGAAGACGCGGTCCTTGTAGTCCGGGTTGGCGTCGAAGAAGCGCTTGAGCAGGTCCAGGTTGGCATATGGGTCCTCGGTAGGGCCGTAAAAGGCTCCAGCTGTGGATTCGGGGGCGAGGGGGATGGATAGGCGAGGGAGGCGAGGACGACGATGAGGACGGGGGCCCTGAGCCGTGGCGATCGATGAGGAAGAGAGCCAGTGCCGGGCACTCACTGTTCCACAGGGTGGCGCCCGAGTCGGCGGCCGCCTTCATGGTCTCAAAGGCCTGGGTATCGGGGGCTGGAGGTTGGGCAGGCAGAGGGTGGTACAGGGTCAGAAGGGATCGGGCAGGCGGGTAGGCATGGGCAGAGACTGGGCGCGAGTGTGGAGCGACTCACTCCTGCTGCCGATGGAGCACCAGGTCATGCCCATGAGGCCGAAGGCGATCTGGCCGACGCTAATGCTAGATGCCGAGCCGCCGAGCTTCCTGGTCGGGGCCGGGGCCTGGGCGGCAGCTGTGGCGGTTGCGTTGTGGGTCGTCATGGTGCGTGGGCGGTGGCGTGGGGTCGTGAGACGGCGTGACTCTGGATGAGCTGGAAGGCGAGAGCGAAGATGGGTGGTGGTGGTGGTGGTGGTGGTGGTGGTGGTGGTGGTGATGATGGTGGTAAGCGAGCGAGAGAGCGGGCGGGCCGACCAGGAGGCACATGGTCAGGCGCCAGCCAAGAGGTCGAGGTCGAGCTCGAGCAGCGGCCAGGCTAAGCCAGAAGCAAGCGCTTGGTAACTGACTGGGCCCTGGCCACCTTGCTCTAGCGGTGCCTCGGCCGGAGCGGGCCGTCCGACGGCTCATCCGGCGGCTCATCCGGCTGCCGAGAAAACCCAAATGACGGCGTGGAGGTGGAGGGGCTGCGACGCTGGGCAAGACCAAAACAGCCAAAGCAGAGTCACAGGCCGGCCAAAAATGGCGCCAGCAGCACGTGAGGCGGAACAGGCCGAAACGCGCGCCAGGCGGGGCAGAGGCGAGGCAGAGGAGGGCTGCGCGGCAGAGACCAACAGCCAGGCCAGCCAGCCAGAGAGGCGGGCACAGAGACCAACAGCCAGGCCAAAACCAGGCCAGGCCCATCCCAGCCCAGCCCAGCCCAGCCAAAGGGTTGAGGCAGCCGTCTACGTCGACTCGAGCAGCCTGGCCAGACAGACAACCGGCTCTCCCGTCCGACGGTCAGCCAGCCAGCTTCTTGCTCTGCCTCTCTCTCTCTCTCTCT